CATTGGGGTTTTGTAAGTAGTCAATTGTTGGATCTCTTATATGCTAATATACATTTCCTCCTACAGTTACAGATCAGACTAAACAAGAACTATATAGGGCCATCATCAATAATGGATATGCAGTTTGTCTTCAAGTTCCAAGCTGATACACAAGATACAGTTATTTTGTGGTAATATGAAGAAATCAAGACTCAGAAAAACCCGCAAGCTGTTAATTAAGGAATTAATTATGCCAATATGTTGCTTGAAGGTCACAAGGTGTGCCTTTGAATTAATATGAATATTACTCCCTTCCATCCTAAAAGAACTACTAAATGAGTTTATTTTAATCTTAAAATATAAGACACCAACTTACTTTATTTTTTAAATTTGTAATTTTTTTAATTTTTTTTTTAACTGATTACACATATATATCAAGATGGCTAGTATTTCATTAAGGGAATAGTTTCATGTGCAAACAGTTAAAAGAATTAGAACTAAATTAATTATTTTTTTCCTATTCTCTGCAAATGAATTAGCTAATTCTTTAATTAACATTGGATGAAGCATTAATAACATAAATTCATATATGGATAGAAGAAGACAAACTTTGGCAGGCTCCTGGGATGTGTGTAGGAAAGTAACAAAGTTGAATGCTAGAGTCTTCTTGACCTATACATATCATATGGGCAATTAGGTAGCTGTGGAGCTAAGGGCACCATGACCACATGGGAAAGCAAGAATCCTGGGAAGACGTCTTATCTTTGCATGCATGCTAAACTCAGGCATCCCATCCACTTGCCTTCTGCACATTTTATTTTAAAATTTTATATATATGTCGACGCCATGAATGAATAAAAGACAACCAATAATGCAGAGTGACCGCGCGAGAGAGAGAGAGAAGGAAGATCAATAAATCTTCGATAACAGTACTTGTATCTTTTTTGGTCCGTTGAATTAATTAGTCTCTGTTCTAAATGATGTGATGGACGGTTTGAGAAATTAATAAATTATTAATATTATTGCTTTAATCATTTTCATCCTAAATAAGTAAATATGAACCCCATTACAATAAAATAAACTATAAAAACTTAATTTAAGATCATCAAGATAAATTGTAATAAGAAATCAGGTTTAATTTTTCATGTGTGTGTGTGTGCATATGAAGGCTTTGATTTCAATTAATATTTGTTATTTAATTTTACGATTTCAAGGCCTCAAGGTACACATGACAATTTTATGGAGCAGATAACCCATGCACTTAAGTTGACCCGTCACTGATGAAAACAGAATAACATATTGGAATCATGTGCCTCCCTAAGCAACACGACAATTAAACATCAATCTCTGCACAAATTATATTTTAATATTCTCTAGAAATTTTCAATCATTCAAGTTAGGTCGCCATTGCAGGATGAAATCTCCCTTTCTAATATGATTCTCTTTCTCAAACATTGAAGGTATATATATTGCCGCCACTGTTGTTTATAGATTTTCTTCTAATGATTAGGTGACTTGTATAAATGAAATGTTGTTGACATGCTACTTTCATGAGCACTAAATAAATGAATTATAAAAGATAATTGAGATACCCACGATTCTTTTGGTGATGCAATCAAAGAGGTTCCTCTGTTGTGATTCAGAATATTGATTAAGGAAATTAATCTTATAGCTAGTCTACTGACATATATGAGAATTTTTCTGTAAGTGAAGCTTGTAATACCATGCTTTTATTAGTACTGCCTGCTTAATTTAATTAAAACAATGTTGATTAAAGAACTCGTGTGAAGGTGTAATGATAGAGAGCAATCTAAGACATGTTTAGAGAGATTCTTGCAGAAGAGGACAGGGTCTTAAGTAAGATTTGAAGACCAGGTTTCGCAACCCAAAATGCTCTGAATAAAATTACCCAGAAGATTGCAGGTTTTGTCAAAAGAATGTACTAAACTTGTCTCAGACAAAACACTGCTTAAAGACTCCATCCATCCCATTGCTTCTTAAATAAATATGTTACATATCCTAATTAAATTATCATGTCTAATAATAGACACTAATTGACAAATCCATGTAGATTAATTAAGCTCACACAACGATGTCTCTAAATTTCAACTTTTCAACCATGTCGGGACTAAGAAAATTTGAAAACATTCACAGGTAAAAAAATTTCATTTTTATTTCTAGATCTCTCTATATCCATGTTCAATAATTTCAAGGACTATATACATACATATATATATATATATTGTGTATGTATATTGCCGACGCAGACATGTAATTATGGAAGACAGTACAGATGTACTGTTAAAAGTTTTTGTATGATATAAGAGATTGAAGAGTGTGGAGAAAGAAAAGTAAATATAAATGCAATGATATGATAATGTCCTTCAAAACAACAAAAGAAGAAGAAGCAGCCAGCTAGGTCTGGATATATAGTCCCCACCACCATGGAAGAGAAGCTAAAAACCTTCTGCACTTTAATGTTTGATATGAACGGTTTGAATTAAAAAGGCAAGAATGTTTTAATTAAAGCCAATAATATCTAGCTAGCTATGGGTACCTATATATGTAGATGCAAAACTTAAATTGGCTTTCCCCCACACGTATTCATTATTCAACATTTGTATATAATGTGAACTTTTCGAATTCTATATATATCCAACTTGCTTGTGTATTTATGTATATATAGAAAAGTCAGAAGCTTATTAGGACCCTAAATAATTAATTATTAATAAAAGAGCATGTAGTCCCCTACATGAGTCATGTTTGAACAAGAAAAATAGTCCATGCCTCATTAATTATATCTACCTATCTTCTCCAACACCTCACATGGCTTACACGTACTGACACTATTCTTACTCATGTTTACTCCTTCTGAATCATTTGCCTATTTTTCAAACCTTAGCTTCTTCTTCCTCCCCTTCTCGTTTTGTTCTCTTTCAGTTTTAATATTATTTATTTATTTAATATTGATATAGCAGATTTATTGCAAGAGTCAAAGATTACCTTCGGTCATTATCCCAAGAACACTGATGTGTGCAGATATTCTTTTTCAGAGAAAAACAAAACCAAACGATAACGTTATGTTCTCTCCTTGTTTTGCTTCTTCTTGTGGGGTTATAAGCTGACATTAACCTTATTTTCCTATATCGAACTACGTAGGTAGTACTTGAGCACACTGATCTTTTATATAGTACTTGATCACACTGATCTTTTGTCATGAAAATCTATCAACTTTGCTTCATTAAAAGGAAAAGTGGATATTTTCCTTGCTAAAATTGTAAGAAACTAAACTACGCATCATAATAACACCATACACCTCATGTAAAACAACCCCATTTGATAACTTTGGTTATTGAAGAGCTTAAGTGATAGGATAGATTAGGATAGAACATGTATTACTCTGACGTAAGCCCTAAATTGTTGGTGTTCGAGCTCGTTCTTTATTCCAAAATAGTGATATAGACATTATATGAACTGATAAATCAATACGTATTCTTACTTCAATAACGTATACAGCAATCTCATATATATATATATATATATATATATAAATGCGTCATGGTTTTCTCACAGCTTGGGTTGCTTTAGAATTGCATTGGACTTTGAAGCATTCAAGAAAAGTTGCGCCCATCTGGTTTATATATGTATATGCATATGCATCACAAACTGAATTCACATCAATCTTTCACAACAAGAAGTACAAATACCAAGGTACGTCGTAATTGTTTAAAGCTTGTTGCTTGTCTTTCTCTCTTTTTCTCGCAGTTTCTCGGTAACCAAACAGGGAACTCAAGTGATGCAGCTTCTGTGACGCGGATAAGATGGTGCCGTGTCCCCGTCCAATTTTCCACCCAAAAGAATCTTATTCACTCCCACGCTTTGGTTCTAAACCTTCTTGTCTCTTTTTAATTTGCTTTTTTTATGCAGATAAGACTCCTTTAAGATACTTTTATATATGATTACCCTTAAGTTAAATAGTCTTAAACAATATCGAATAAGAACTTGTAAAAGCTTCGAAGTTTGAAACTCGGTAAATAAATATTTTTTTCAGTTGAATATTACTATAACATGTTGTCATCGATCCTTTAACAACTTGCATGTTCCAGATGTGTCATATTTTTGTGACAAAAGATTCTAAAATTTCATTTTCTTAAAAAAATTACTTATCACATTTTTATGACTAATTTATTCCTTTTGGACCAATAATTACTCTCTTTTCTCTCACTCATGTTTAATTTATAGCACTTCCTGGATTATGAAATATGTATCCATGTATATGCATACATTTTTTGAAGTTTTCAAAAGACAAACAAAAATAATATTAATTTCTTCAAAATATAAATATAAACCATGCAGTTAAAAATTATACTTTAATAATATTTGTTTGTTCTTAAAATGAACTTAATTTCTTTTAAAATTTAAATATAGATATTACTTTTTATATATCATATTAATAGAAAATATAACTTTTTTATTAAAAAAATCTAATACTATCCTCTTTTTTTACCTGAAACTATGCGTTAATTTTCACAGAATCACAGTAAGAAATATCAGAATATCACATATTTTCACTGAAGTGACGGATGAACTTTCAGCTGGGAAAAAAATAATGTAACAGACATTATTTATATTAAGAAAAGTTCGGCCGGAAAATTAAAAATAATATAATTAGTGTTGGTGAAGAAAATTAAGAGACCCAAACGTTAAATTGAATCCTTGACCCCGGCGACATCGCCGAACAAATCCGTCCAATCTCATTGCGCTTCTCCTCTCTCCACGTGGCACCTGCACGGACCCCAACACAAGTGCCGGTGCCAATCAGTACACGCCAATTATTTTGCAGATTTGAAAAATTAAATTAAATTTAAATCCCGGCATTATCTTAATTTAGTTTGCCCAGTTATTTACTAATCATCCATTCAATCATATAGCTTTAGTTTTTGTCACGCTCCTTTCCCTTACCCTATCCTATTTATGTCAATTTTGGTTAATTTTGACTTGCCTTGCACAAGTTAGTTGGGAAACGCCTGCTTCCTTCTCTCTCTGGTTTTACTACTAATACTCTCTCTATCTGTGGGGTTGTTGCAGAAGCTGTCCAGATAGGGACCTTTGCTTATTTTACCTCCTTCCCTTATCTCCCTTCTTCATCATCATCTTCTTTGAGAGATGGGGAATTGTCAGGCTGTGGATGCAGCTGCTCTGGTGATTCAGCATCCGTGTGGGAGGATAGAGAGGTTGTATTGGTCTGTGACTGCGAGTGAGATCATGAAGATGAACCCTGGTCATTATGTCTCTTTGATTATTCCATTGCCTCTTTCTGAGGATGAACAACAACACAGCCAAGAACACAAGACTGTTCGTTTCACTCGTGTCAAGCTGCTTCGCCCTAATGACACTCTCAATCTCGGCCATGCTTATAGGCTCATCACCACTCAAGGTGTGTGTGTGGAAGTGAAACTTCTGTTCCTCTGAGCTTCTTTTTCTTTTCATGGTCTGATTTCTGATGATAATTTGCGCTTCTGGTTGCAGAGGTTATGAAGGTCTTGAAGGCAAAGAAGCTTGCCAAGACGAAGAAGTCTCAGGCAGAGTCGGTGGAGAAGAGTACTGTGCAGGAGAAGCAGCGTTCTGTGAGTGAGGCAGAAGGAGAGAAGCAGGACGCTGGAAACACACGCGAGGTATCCATCAGAATAGTACTTTTTGATACACTGCTGTTCAATATATAATTATAATTATATCCTGTGTTTCCTTAATCCCATCTGAGTCTGACCATGGCTTTGATCTCTCACCTTACTACTGCATCACTGCTTATTCTATTCCTCTCTGGTAGTTTTATCTTGTCTCATAGCACATCTGGCACAATCCATTCCTTAAAGTACAGCTATTTGTATGTAACAGAGAGAATACCAGAGTGGTCGCTACCAAATAGAATATAATTTTATGCTTTGATCCGTTTTCTAGTAGAAACCAATTTCTGATGCAGCTTCTTGTTTTTTAAATCTTCATCTTCAATAGTGAGTAAATTCTTCTTCATAATGATTTGCAGGCAATGAGAGCAGAGAGGCACAGGCAAAGAGGGGCAGTAATAAATTCTGCTTCTTTTAGGTCAAAATCATGGCGTCCTTCCTTGCAGAGCATCTCAGAGTCTGCAAGTTGAACGGTGCCTACTAAGTTGTGTGGCGAGCACAGTGGTTCACACCATTATTGGACTGCCTCTTTCACGTGTGAGAAGTTTCACCTAGCTCAAATCCTGATAGAGGGTAAAGAAAATAGAACAGAGGTTTGAAACAAGATGGTGCAGTGGCTCAATGTTTGTATAGCATCACCAAGATGGGAAAAAAAAAAAGAGCAATGAAAATTGAAAAAAAAATAGTGAAACTGAGTTTTGTGATTGATATAGTTACAGAATCCAAATCTTCCTTTTACTTAGCAAGATACGCAGTTTACTTGGTTCTCTTACATACAACTCAGAAAAAGCTTGTGAAAAAAAAATAATTATGATAATAATACTAATAATAAGGAAAAGAAATATAAAGTGGAAGTCACTATAATTTTGAGTTCCAAACTTGCCAGTCATCGTCAACATAATTTTGAGCCCACAAAAGAGATGTTCTTGCAGCCAGAGGTGCTCCGGGCAATTTCTTCTTCTTTAAAGCAATTAACATATCTGTGAAGGGCTCCACCAATAATGTCCCAGGGCCTCCATACTCCTTGTGCATGAATTCACTGAATATCTGTTTTTCCAGCCAAGGCTAGTTAGCATGACAACTAATAGCTCAACACGGAATTCAAAATAGTACCATTCTACTTTTTAGCTCCAAGCATCAAACTAGAGCCCACATACAAACATTGCCAGTTTAGAAATACTCCCTCCGATTGATAGATGACGTCTGGAAATTTGCGTAGATTCTAGTCCTTTTGCCTAGGAGGCGTTTCAATTATTGTACCGTTTTAAACTTTTAGGCCAGGCCAGACCTCCTGATAGAAAAGATTTGCTCATTGTAGAAGGAAATAAGTAACTCTAGTCGAGACTAGGCCGCTGAAATTAGTGTAGTTTTTCCGTAATTGAAAGTCTTGTGAACCACAAAATCCTCATAATGGGATGGCCAACATTCTATTTTTAATTGTTGGAGGCAAAATTAAAGTCTGAGAGAGAATGATTCCTTCAATATACCATTATAGCAACAAAATGAAGACACAAACTGACATATCACCATTAGTGCATCAGGAGACTTTTAAGCAATGTTGCTATTAACCAACTCAGCCTCCGATATGATTGTACCAGTAAAATCCAACGCTTGCTCATAGATGACAAATTAAAAGTCAATTCAAATTAATTAGACGTTGATATTCTATGTTTTTGAATTCTAGGACCTGAAGCTCATTGTGATTGAGATAGCAAATATTAGGTATTAGCCGCGTATCTCCAACATCTTCCATGCTCCACTTCAAGCAAGATTAATAGCTGTGAAATAGCTAAGAACCAGGGGTCCAATATAGTAAGGAGTAGTCACCAAGCACGTCCATTTAAAAAATAAAAATAAAATCAGCATGCAAATTTCACTTTTCTGAAGCTCATAATAAATTTTACCATTGTTACAGTATCTCTCTACCAGGAGTGTTGAAATAATACATCACAGCACATACAGGTGCATAAACAAAGAAAGCCACACTTTATTCAATAGCGTTTTAAATGATCAATAATGTCCAGCGCCAATTTTTCTTCATCTCACCCTTCCAGATATGGCTGGATCTCACATGAATGGACCCATTAAAGGGAATTTCTACCTATTGAGGTCTAAATTAGTAGTCCGCCCAGGCCCCAGACAATCAATGTCAAATAAGGGGAAAACGGGAACGATTTAAGAGTGAAATGATTTCTTTCTTTTGAAATTGTCTCATCTTGTGGAATGGTGAATGCAGCCATAAATAGGCAGACCTAAGTTAGGTTTCCCAAAAATTTGTCATATATAAACCAGTGAACAATGGACCACATACATGTCAAATCCTGAATAAATTCTTATTAACTCTGAAATGCAAAAGAAAAGGTCCATATAAAATGAAATCACTTCCAATTGGGACTATATTGTGACTCATCACTATTCAGTAGAATCTGTGATATTCTTATTGATGTTGCAGGAAACAAATGTTGGCCGCAAGCATTAGTGAACGAGCTCCCCTAAATGCAAGAATCACAGCAATGAATTATGATTGGGAATGTTCTTTACGTTCAGGTGTGTTAATCAATGAGGGTGTTAACATTACATTTAAATCAGGCTTCAGACTCGTTGTAAGAATATCTGCAGCAGCAAAGGTGAAATTCTTTCATTCTTTATCCTTCCAAAGAAAAAAAGAAGAAAAAGAACTATTTTCCTTTTCGCTTCTCTTTAACAGCAGATGATTTTTCCAAGGCTAGTATACGAGTAACCAAAGCTGTCTTTGGATGTTATAACTCAGATATAGATGAAATACATATTGCTGGAAGGATAAAACCCGTAATATTGCATTTCAGTGCTGCTTCAAAAGAGATGTTGAAGATCACAGGGAAACTTGATCAATCAATATAAGAGATCAATTATTTTCCAATCAAGATGAAAATCCACTCAATTCACAAATAATTCTTTAAGATAAACCGTAGGTTAATGCTGTGAACATCTGACGTAGAGTTCTTTTCTTTTTTCGTGTTAACAACACCAGCATTGAAACTAAAATAGGGAAATATGAGGAAGAACATATTAGGAAGTATGCATATCTTAAATTATTTCCGAGACAAGTCATCAATATAAGCAAAGTGAAAAGAAAGTCTAAATATGTAATATGACGTTTAATGTTTAACTAAATGAACTTTATCTCTCATTTTCCATTTGTCAATGAAAACGATACGGAGTGATCATCATGCAATTAATTTCCCTATTTTATATCCAAACATCAATTTCATGGGCAGGACAACAACCGTAACATGAATTAAAAAAATTAAAAAGACGGGGAATAAAATCAATACTAAAGATTGAAGATGAAAAATTACTTGCATTCCAGGTGAACTTAAAAAATGAATTCTTTCATAACCCCTACTATCAATATCAAATATAACAGAAGTTAAAACATCCTTAGATAAAAAGGTGATAGGTAATTTGGGAAGACTTGACACTTTTATTCTCTTCAGGAGAACACCAGGTCCAAGATTGTAATAATTAGGCGAATAGATTAAAAATTCGTATTAAACTAATCAATTCAACATTAAAGGCCAACAAAGAAAAAAAGTTAAAAACCAACTTAAACGATCAAATTTGGATAAAATCCAACCGGGTTTGGCACGAAATCAATTAAAAATTAGCATTGATAAAATAGATTAAAAATTCGTATTAGACTAATCAATTCAACATTAAAAACCCACTTAAACGATCAAATTTTCATAAAAATCCAACTGGGTTTGGCGCAAAATCGGTATGAAAAATCAAAATAATCATTTTTCTGTGGGCAACATAAAATTACAAGTGACATAAACTTTCACCGTTTGACACAACAGAAATGTTTATCCTTGTTCACGCATTTTCTCGAGCATGTAACGCTCAAAGCACAAACGACACACCTTCAATCACCGACTTCATAACTAATGCATCAACCGGGTGAACCATAACCATTTTTCGACGTTATCCCAACACGAGAAATAGAATACTAGAACAATACATTGATTTCTTATATGACGCACGGTATCTCAACAACATACATTCGTATTATTTCGAAAGAAAACGGCATTCACCTGAGCACAAACATCGACGACTGCATGAAGATCATCGCCGAACTCGTCTTTGTCCTCAGATAGCCTCTCAAACAGCTCAGCTCTGAACTTCTGCGTTTCCTGCATTAGCCCATAGAATGAAATAAAAACACAAGCTTTCAACTCGAAAATTTCACACATAACAGTCGTCAGAATTCACACTTACAGATTCCGCGAATTCGGGTATTGGGTCGGGGTAAATGTGATTCTGGGTCGGGGAAGCACTGAGGATACAAGTGAAGGTATTCTTTGCGGAGACAAACTTCAGGCAGAGAGAAGGAGACAGAGGTAGTGGCGGGCAAGGCATAGTGTAAGAGGATTTGAGTTTGAGAAACGAATTTTCGCGGGAGAGAGAGTCGTTGCTGATGGGTGGGATACCGGAGAAAAAGTGCTGAGTACCATTGGATTGGATCTTCCCTTCTTTCTCGGTTGACGGTCGAGTTCAATTAATTTTATCTTTTTTATAAATTGAAGAAGCCGCAGTTCATATACATTATACTAACTTAGGCTTTAATTATAACATCTTATTTGCAGTATACTATAATTTGATTGATCTCAATTCTCAACGATTATATTTATGAGATGAAACTACGCAAGTCTAAATTAAAAAGGTAGTACGTTGTTCTAATTTTTCATCTCGTAACGAATTACAGCCACCATAACCCCCAATTAAATCAATAATCTGGTTAAGTTTACAATTATGAAGGCATTAAAGAATATCAAATTATAAATTTAGCTGGCAAATAAAAATTTAAGTTATGCTATGGTTTTTTTTAATATATTATATCTAAATATATAATATAGATTCCGGGAGTGTTTGGTAACTCCAGAAAAATATTTTTATGCAAGTTCAGATAAAACTTCTTACCAGTATAAAAAAAACCGGACCGGACCGGCTGGTTTCAACCAGTAAACCGGTGAACCGGTCAGTGGTCCGGTCCGGTTCATAAGCTAAAACCGGGGACCGGTTCAAACCGGATTGAACCGGTCAAACCGGTGTGAACCGGTGAAAACGGTAAAAACCGGTATGAACCGGTTTAAATAAATATATTGATATTTATCCTATTTTTTCTCATTTAACTCCTAATATCTCAATTATTATAGATTTAAATGAATTTTGATGATGAGTTTGGCATCAATAATTATTAATTTTAGTTTTGAAAAAATTATAAAGATCAAAATTCTCAATATTGTTGTACTTTATTATTATTACAATCAAATTCTATTGTATTTCTTTATATTTTGTATAGTAATTATTATTATTGTTATATTTTGTCATTTTTAATTAAATTAATTATTTTTATGAACGGTTTGATCCCGAGTTGACCCCGGTTTTTTGACCATTAACCCTTGCTTCTTACATACTTACTTTATATATTATAAAATCAGTTTTTAAAATTATATTTTGTTTTTCACTCAAACACTCTCTAAATTTTTCACAGGAGTAGATATAATATCACGTTATAAGGAAAATATAAAGCATCGTTGATCTTTATCTCTCTTTATCATAGGCACTCACTTCAACTAGTACCTCCCTATTTGTTCCATATGAGAACATACAAGACTTGGCTAGCACAAAGACTATTAAAATATTTCTTTTTTCTTTTTTTTTTATAAAAAAAAATTCTTTTGACCGTCAGATTGTATAGTATGTTCAATATTTTGTTCAAGTTCTTAATTCAGTCTTTATACTTGAAATTGTGGAAAGGGTTTTCATGTTTTGATTTTGTTTTTAAAGTTCTTGATGACAAGATGTATTAGAAGTTATAACACCATTAAATAGGTTGAGGTCTCCTGGAAGCCGATTCTCATGTGATTGGACTCAAATTGATGATTGACCCAAAAAAAAGAAAAAACAGAACTCAAATTGATGTCCATTTTTTATTCTAGGCCTCAGCCTTTTGACTCATAACTAACAGAATGAACTAGAAGATCTTGCTGAAGGCCAGATATTGCCAACTGCATGCATCTTCATCCCAACTTGGGCCCTTAAATGGCTTCCTTGAAATTTTCCAAACAAAAACAAGTGCAAATCCATTTGAGAAAATGTTGAAATGGAATAGCAAGAAAACGAAACTAGGGGGCCGAAAAGCAATATTAAATATTAATCTAGATTTTTACGGCCCATCTTCAATGCTTTTCAAGAAAAATATTTTCAACCCTTAATGGGCTGAATCTTAAAAAAAAAAAAAAGAAGGGAATTATGGAAAGTGGGCCTCAATTTTCTCATTATTAACTCAAACAAAATGAACAAAAAAAAATGCTTCAGTTCATATATACTCATGTTCTGTATTTCTAACATTGGTGTGAACGAAATCTTCTTCCCCTGCATCTCCTCTCTAACAGAGAAAAAAAACAGGGACATGAAGAAGCACTCTGCTCCTAGGAATTTTAAAAGAAAAGGGGAAACTTTGGCATCATTTGAAAGATTAGAACAAAATCTCATTATCACACAAAGGAACCCAGAAAAGGGAATGTTTTATGTTACTGTTCACTTAACAGAATAGAATGTGATTCTCCCTTTTTTTTTTAAATTTTTTTACATATATTGTGAAATGATGGGCCAAATTTCATTATATATGTAACCAAAAAATTCATGGACACACACACACACACATAAAGCACGTTAAAGATAGAAAGAACCACCTTTTATATAACAGTACAAGTTTGTAAAGTTGCAAATCTGGTGTGCGTGTGTATTATAAAGTTATTTAAACAGTGTGCCTTTTTAAAAACAATTTGGCTAAGTAGTGCTTTAGATATGTTCTTCATACATCAATCTTTTTCTAATGAAATGATTCTTTTTTCCCATTTGAGAAGCAAAGTAGGGATTGGTGGCCACATTGCAAGTGAATAAAGATATTTTGTGAATGCCATTGAGTAGCCAGCCTTAGCTTCATTATTTTTATACTAATTTATAAATCTTAGTTAGCAGTCCGAATAGTAAAATATGAACAGGATGAAACCTAACAAGTCCTCAAGCTTTCATCATCATTCATGATCCCCTTTAACCCATAAAAAAATTTAGAGTCTTCATCTTCAAGCTCCTTCACAATCAATTGCTCTGTGTTTCTTTGGTGGGGATGGATATGGGTTCTTTAGAGGGAAAATGATGTGGAATGCACTATGACGAACTTCTTCTTTTTGTTTATTTGTTCCTAATTTATTCTTAAATTTACATCTTGTCATGTGCCTGTAAAATAGCTCAGAAAAGGGGAGGAAAATAAGCACTGATTTGATGTTATTCATATTCCAATCACTTATTGGAGCAATGTACAGAAAAATTAAAGAGCATGTGACAGAGAGAGAAGAAAGTGAAGAGAATTTACAAGTTATCTTTACACATCATGAGAAAGATTAAAAGAAAGAGATAAGCAAGGGAAGGCAAACCTCGTTCACTATTATTATGAGTCTTTTGTAACCCATTTCTTTGTACTTTCCCAATTCGGCTTTGTAAATTTTCTTTTGTTCCTTCATAATTCAATTGTAGTACAAGCTTTTGGCTCATCTTTTTAATTGTTGGGCCTTCACACACGCAAGTGCCACTAATGAAAACCTTTTAGTGATACCTTTTCTTTTTCTTTTTTCCTCAGGGCTCTGTTTCACTGCAACAAAGTTCAAACCTCACTCATTAATTACTTCTCCCCTTTCTATGTTCTGTCGTGAAAATAGTTTTAGTCTTGTAGCTAATAAATATATTACAGACATGTCACACTTCCTTCATATAAACATTTTATTGGGTTCCTTTTTGTTTGAAGAGGACCAGAGCAGGCATGTTTATCAGTGATTCAGTTCCAGCTTAAAACATAAGCAAATACATCTATGTAACACAACTCAACCAAACTACGCACTCACACACAGAGAGAGAGAGAGAGAGAGAGAGAGAGAGAGTGAAAGCTGAAGGATGAAAATGGTGAGGGAAGAGGTAGATAGATTGGCTATATAGAGGCTTGATGATTAAGCAGAAGACTCTTTTGTCTCCACTCTGTCACTAAGGAGGTCCATTGCAAGCACTATCTCAAAGCATTGATAAAAAGAAACACACACTATAACATGTCTACGCTCCTCCCTTCTTTCTGCTTCTTTTTATGGCATCCAATGACCCAAAATGCATGTCAGCTGGAAAAACCCTAAGGGGGGGGGGGGGAACTAAAATTTTCAATTCAAAATCAGATTTCCTTCATTGTCTGGAAAATACACAGCATTAGCTCCCTTTGTTTGTTACTTACAAATACTTCTTCAAAATGACCATAAAAGGACCTGAATTTAACTGCAGAATAAGATATCTCAAAATGATCATGTGTTTCAGACTTGTGATCATGATTTGATTATTATTGTGATTGTTGTTATTGTTATTATCATTGAGGCACCTAATCTTCTTTCTTACTTTTCTTTCTATTAAAATATAGATTGATGTAGAATGGGGACAATGAGTGGATCAAGGACTTGAGAGAGAAGTAGTGTGTCTTGTATTCAGCATAAAATCTGATAAACCCACATCTGAGAATTGAAGCATCATTCTAACTTTTGAACCTTTATCCCATCAAGGGGCCTATATTTTGCAGGAACCCCACAAAAGCATATGGCAAAATTTTCACAAGGAAAAAGCTAAATCTAAATCTAAATGGTGAATTTTCAGGCTCCTCAATGCTTGTCGTGGCCACCAAAAGGCTGGATTTCCCCTAAACAAAAAAGAGAGAAAGATAAGAGTAAAGAGCTATATAATTCACTGAGAGGGGGGCAAAAAGAAATTTTGGCTTTAGGTTTTATACTTAGGATTCCTTAATACCTCGCTTTATGAAGAAATTTTTTTTCTGAGTAATAAAGGAACTCAGTGGGGGAGGCTAGTTGCTTCTTTTGATGTAAGATAAGAAAGCAAGAGATGTGAAGGGCCCTAGGTGGCTTATTTTTACTTATTGAAGACAAAAAACAAAGCATCAGCCTCAGTGCAAAATTGGCCCCATTTTTCTATTCAGGGACACATGTCATCCTCTCATTCCTCAAAACATGTTATTCACAGTTTAACTTGCAGATTTGGTGACTATAATTACTTTGCTTAATGCTTTTTCATACTTGTCATAATAATAGGTTAATTATAAGCTATATAAAGTCATCATCAACACCTAAGTTCCACGTACCTTGCAAAATATATTTTGCCTTCATCATGTATGGCAGTGTTTTTGAAAAAATTATTACTAGACTCCAAATTAATTTCTTCTAACATAAGAAAACTAATCCTAATTATTATAGCACACAAGTCTTCCTTAGCATTGTTTTCTTCATTTTTACAAGAATTAAGAAGCATGGGCTTTTTTCTTCTTATATTATGTCAAGGATTTTGTTAGTTTGTCCCACTGACTTAACTTGCCAACTTGGACTAAAACCAGAACAAATATCATCTAAAGCGCTTCAAATTTAGGACCAATTTAGAATAATTTATAAATAGTTTTTCAATTGTAATTGACAAAATACAAGGTAAGTATATAAAAAAAATTTTATCTCAACTTACGTGAAATACGTTTGTAAGTGTTTCTGGACACTACCTCAAACAAACCTTTAATCTTAGATCAAGAATTTGGAAGAGACTGGGTTGTTTTTTGCGAGATAATCAAATTTTTGACAGGACTTGTCCTATTGTTTGTCCCATTTAATCTTTGAATAAAATGGAAGTTTTTGAATAATTTATTTGGCGTGTCGTCATCAGATAAATGCTGCAGGATCCAAAAAGAACTTTTCTCATAAAGACAAGAAATTAGTATTAATTACTGAGCATCTATAAAAGCCTCTCTTGCCACGGGATAAAGGTTCAAAAGAAAACTAGAATCCAAAGTTAACATATCAGTTTTCTTCTTACAGCAACATTATGTCAAGTTTTGTAATCTACACAGCAACTCGGGTTATTAAGAAATCAAGCAAACACTTTACAAAAGCAAGCTAATTTTAGATTATGGGTTAAGAAAAGACCAGAGTTGTTTTTCTTTGAGATAGTCAATTGTTTTTAAAGGGCTTGTCTTACTGTGTGTCCCTATTAATGTTAGAATAAAGCTTTTGATTAGTGTCCAAGATTTATGAATCTCAAAAGGTGGCTCTTAATTAAAAGACTTGTTATTTCTGAGTGGATAATCACCTTATAGCAGACTCTAAATTTGTTTAATTACTACGCATAACCATTTCAGTGGGCAAGATGGCCTTATCTAATTAGCATTTTAAAAACTTTTTTTAAGCAGACTATACCTTCACAACAAGATAAATAGATTAAATCAAATAAATAGTATATTACAAACTCTTAGCTATGTCAAAAGAGTTGGTAAGATATATGCTTTTTGGTATTCTTATGTAAGATTTATATTTATATGCAAGTACTTTAGCCCGATCTATCTTTTATAAATATCAGGTGTTTATAAAATTCTTTATTAACTTTTGATCCAAAATTAATTTTCAGCGCTCTCGCTAACGTGGCCGAATGAAAAAATGCCATATATCACTGGCGAATAAAGTCGGCCGCAGGCTCCTCCCCCCTTTATTATTTCTTTGGCTTGTGCTAATAAATTGAATAAATTGACTAATTTATTTATTTATGTCTTGTTAGAGTGACTTTGAAGTGACTCGGACAATGACACTAAAGAATGAGAATACGTTTTTGACGAAATTAAATGTTTCATATTATTTGCGCATTCATAGTTTTCAACAGATTTGTTCCAATAAATGATTTTTAACATATTTCACAGTTAAAAAAAACTTTAAATTTTATGAACTCTTATTTAAAATTTAATAATTTTTTAATTTTATTTCTATTTAATATACATTATACGTCATGTAAATAAAGTTAACACAATAATAAATAAAGAATAAAATTATATATACGTATAAAAAGTTTCTCTCATTATCTTGTAAATAAGATTAAAAAATATTTTTTCTCTTTAACTTATAAGACCATTATAAAAATTTGTTACCATGGGTGATGCTGAGGTGCTCATAACTCATTTTTATTATTTTTCTTTTCAATGCAACATATGTATATATTTTGATTAATGTCTAAGGGAGTGTTTGGATAGAAACCAAACCATGGTTTCAGAAGTGCTTTTACGGATTACGAAGCAAATATGTGGAGGAGGTTACCTCGTTTTGCAGAAAAGTGCTTCTGAAACCATGGTTTTGAAGCATCCAAACAGGCCCTAAGAGTCTGGATCGGGTCCAACTTCTCTTCTCATTTTTTAAGTAGAACTCTGTCTCATGCCTTGCATGCGACGAAATTTTGAAGGAAACAAGTATTATATTATCTCTGACTCTAAATATAAAAGTTAAATATAAAATTGAATTGAATTTTAAATATAAAATCTCAATTTAATTTGTCTTTTAAATTTATAATTTTTTTGAAAATATTCTTGTAATATTATTTTCCAATCAAGAGCTAGTTATAATGTACATGTTAAAAGGATATTCTAGAAGGAAAAAACACATTTTTTTATAAATAACTAAATTAATTATTTTAATATTTATAAATTAGTTATCAAATTTTTATGTTAAGAATTGAAAGGAGTATATTTTTTACATTCATATTATCTTCCACTTACAATGACAAGTTTTCGTGTCGGAAATCATAACAAATCCATACTAGTCACTTGTTTGTGAGATTTTTTGTGATTACATTCTCATCTTGAGGCCTTACAGTGATTTTCCCAAAACACGCGCTTTGCATAGTCTAGAACATTGACAATTTTCTACAAATTAGGTAAGATAAATCCCACCCATCTAATGCACTACATAAATACATGACAGTTAGAATATTGGAATTCTCAATTACTTGTTTAAAGTTATTAAAATGTCTACCACTCACGTTAACTCAAGTTACCAGCAGCACTCGGTAAAATTTTAATTGAGAGGCAAATGAAGGAAGGAGAAGAATCAGAGAGACTGTAGATGGAGGATTCTGAGGGGAAGCGTACAGGGAGCTCTTTAGACAAAGGAGGGAACAAATGGTACGTGTGAAGGGCGAAAGGAGAGACGATGAGAGCACTATAAATGGTAAAAAGGATAATTGATTGAGAGAAAAAAGATGGTAAAAAGTAGTGATGGGGATGAGATATACAGCAAAGTAGCAGCATAATAAATCAAGCAGAAAGGCCAAGCGGTACGAGTGGGTTAATGATGAATGATTCAGGGCAAACGTACAAAAGCAAAGGGATGAAGAGGAAATTTAAATGAGAGCCAAAGAAACTTGTCGCTACGTTGCAATATTTTTCTTCACTCTGGTCCATTTCTGCAGTGACTTGTATTTGCTTGTTTCATCGATCCTCCTGATTTAGACACAAAGGCATGCATATGCTGGAGAATAGGATGCTGATCACTCGATGAGAGGCCATATATCATTATATATACACATATATATATTTGTTGCAAAGGAAACTAAAGTATGTGATTGCATAATAATTTCCGAACATCACGTATCGTTACTTTTTCCTTTTTTTCCTTGCGAATAAGCCAATCGAAAAAAGCTAAGGCGGTGATTGACCGCAATTAAGTTTTATTTTGGTTAAATTAGAGCTCGGATGGTAATTAAATTTGTATGGGGAGCATAAGACACCGTGATGATTATGATGCCCATACTGATGGACATGTTATTGGCGCGGCATAAGTTCACCGTACATATGTTGCAGATGCTCACCAAATCCGTTTAATACGGAGCCTTAAAAATAAAGAATAGATATTAAAATTACAATTAAAAAGAATTATTAAAAAAAATATTTAGTATGAATAATTACTTGTTTTATAATATTAGACAAACTTATAAAAATAGAATTGGAGAATATTATGATATTTTTCAATTCCACGTGCATAAGTCTGTCTAATTCTATATAACAAGTAATTGTTCATGTTAAACTCTTTCTTAATAGATTTTTTTAATTACAATCTTAATTCATATATTTCTTTTTTAATACTTCACATCAAACGAGACATAAAATTAAAGGGAAGGAAAGTTAAGATCGCCCTGGTCCATAACTCCATTATAAATCTACCAAATCTTGTAGATAAAAAGACTTATTGCATCTGGGATTAAAAGCTATCTCCCGAGGCCGTTGTCACCCATCTTCCAGTTCACCAACAATAATAATGAATTTGGCTGAAGAGGAATCTCATTCCTGATGTTTATATAAATTGATGGAATTGAGTTTAGGTGCTGAGTAATGAATGATGAACACTGAAATAGGAACATGTGTGGGTAAGGCTAGGGGCAGATACTCTTTTTTTTTTTTTTTTTGTTCCTGAGATTTCACGGCAGGAATAGTAGCAGCAGTAGAAATCGGGTTACATATATAGAACAGCCTGGAGATGGTCACGAGAGGAGATTCTTAGGCTAATGTTGCGGGGGTCGTAGTCACCGAAATGAACCGTCTTTATTGCAAGCGGGACCATGAGAGGTCCCTTCGCTTCTAGGCTGTGCCTCACTAAATTCCACAGCAGGGAGGTCTTTTGGCTACTTTTTCAGTCACTAATAAGAACAAAATGGCAATTAACTAACTTCCAATATATGCAATTCACAATCACATGCCATATGAGAGAGAGAGAGATGAGATATGATGATGATAACGGCAGAAACATCTTTATATTATTAAATTATGAATTCATCAGTATATATATAATAATACACAGCACGCATGAAATGAAAGGTCCCCGAGACCTTTTCTGCATTTCTTTAAGCAAAGTTGCAAAAGAAAAAACAGGGGGCTCACCCCTCTTTGAAAACAAACAAATGAAAACAATGCAGAAGAGAGATTAAAATTGAAAACCCTATAGACACGTGATTCCATCCCACGTGTGGACACCAGATGTTGGAGTCCTGTATACATATAAAACTCTAGGCCAAAGCTCGAGGCCACAAGGGAAGAAAAACGAAAGTTCCCGCCAAAAAATAAAAAGAACAAAGAAAAAAAAACCCAGACACAGATACGTATGTGTCACACATAGGAACTGCGAAGAGTCTGCACCCGAACCATAAGAAAGTCCACAAAATGAAGCAAACTTCAGATTATTGCCTCTTTTTTTTTTTTTCTGTTTTCTCGGGGGGTTATTCCAACGAAGGAACGCGGGATTGCTGGGTAAGATGAGAAGCTTGACTTGGAGTCCCCTTGATGGTTGATATGAATATTGAATGGCCCAGACTTCAAAGCTTCATCGCCTAATTAAATCTGCCTACCCACTTGATTTCTGCCATCTGCCTTTTCTCTTTTCACAAGCTCTAAATCAGCGTCCCACCATCTCCCCCTTCCCTTTCACCAGTAATCATGTCACCTTTGAATTCCAATTCCCCACTTCTTCCACAGTTGCTTGACCCAAACCATTAAATGCACCTTTCCCATCCCTTTCCTATCTCCCCCTCACTTTCCAAGCAGAAATATTATAAATTGATACATATCCCGCTTCCTTGGGAATCTGCGAAGCCATTTAATGAACGGCCATGCGCTCCCCAGGCTAAAAACAAAAAATAAATAAAAAATAAACTCACCAAAATCTCAAATTATATATATACTATATCATCTGCGCCTTGATATCAAATATCCTCTTAGAAATGCTGAGGTTTCTAGGCAACTTGGGATTGGACCACCTTATTTCTTTTTCTTCTCCTTCATTTATTGCGGCTTTCTTCTCTGTCTCTTTTTTCTCATTTCACTCGGAGTGTCCTTTGTCATCATCATCTACCCACAGGCAGTTATTTAATTTCCTCCTTTTGTAAGGCGATGAGGACGAGGAGGAAGAGGAAGGCGATGAGTATGATGACATACTTGACTTTGTTGTGAACCTCGTCGTTACTCGAAGCTGTGGGAACACTTTAGGGGGCTTCGTCTGGCTATTGGTGATCACAAAGTCTCGCATGAATTGGTAGCAACCTATGATCTTCTCCTGCAACAATATCAAGATTCATATGCACTTTGGCCTGACTGATCTGTTTGTTTCAAACTCAAACCACTATTATAAATGATCATATTACATGCTTACTTTTCTAAGCCCCTCACACCATGACTCAGCATGCTCAGGCCTGACTAGAGACCAATTAGGAATTTCATTCGCGGCACAGAGTATGGAAGCGGCAGCAATGCATGATGGCCAGTACGCAAGAAAACTAGCCTCTGTGAACAAGAAGAAAGCATGTTTAATTTAATCTTCAAAATTCATAAATATATAATATTACTTCGTTACTTTTTGCTTCTTAAATAGTTCAAACTCTTTATGCATGACTAAGAATTTGTAGAAGTAAACCTTGGATATTTGATAAGATGATTTCTGTAGCTCGTGAGATAAGGAAGCCAGTGAAAGTTCCAGTTGAATCGAGCTTGTACGCAAAGAAACTGAGGAAGTTGAACGGCGTGACTGATCTTAGTCTCCAATCCAGAGCACCTAGAACAAGCAGTTCCATCCGACGAATCGTCTTCGGCTCAAAGATGTATTTGGCACCTTCTACCTGTATATGCACGTTATTAAAAGACATATAGTCATGTACGTAACTAATGACAAGCCGAATCAATATAGAATTTTATTAATTAATTTCCTTTCCAAAAGAATGTGCTTACAGTTAGAGTGTGCTTTATTAAATTTGATTGAAAATGATGGGATCGGGGGGAAGATAGGGTAACATACCTGAAGATCCACAAGGGGCGGAACCAAGGGTTCCTCCATCTTTGCAGCTAAAGACAAACAAGCAACGGACAGAAGTTGCAGTGGCCACCCATTTGCTTGCTGTAAACACAATAATGGGTGGTTGGAATAACAGGCCAAAAAACAACGCAAATGAAAATGTAATTATTATCGTAATCACTTTTTACAACACTATTCAATATTCAATATTTTTTAGATAAATAACACCAGTGCAATGCACGTGCTAGGGTGAGATTGCTAGAAGCTGTAGGCCATCATCCGTCATATTCACGTCAAAGTGTGTAAATATATATATTTATATATATTACTATATAACTTTATGTGGGCACGTACATGTATAAAAAGCAAATATGATTAGAAAAAGTAAATAATGTCAAAGTTTTCTATTCACGTTAAAGTTAATGGAATAGTGACCCTTTTTAATTCGCGACTCGCGAGAGAGATCCAAGCGGTCCACGAAAACCAATAAAAGGGAAATGCTATTTATTAAAACTTTCAGTCTCGTAATAAATACAGCCATAGACATAATTTTGTAATTTCGTACTTCAGCCAAAAAAAATTTGTAATTTCGTACGTACTGGATGCAACAATACATTCTATGGCCCACCAGTATTTGTTTTTGGACAATAGCCCTCGGCATCCATTCATCGTCATCAAATTAAGTAATTTATGTTGAAACAATATTTCATGACCTTTTCACGTTTGAAAAGTCAAACATAATTACCGCATAGAATTTTTGCCACGCATATTATAATTGCCAAAGAATTTTCCCCTTGGACATTTTACATTTCGTTTTACTTCCTGATATCTGAATATTATTGTCACTCTGAAAAAGGAAATCTCACCGGCAACCGCCGAGCATCCAAAAACCGATCCATGTAGTTGACGGAAAGATACGCCGTCAGTGGCTGAAATCCAAAGTAAGCTTGTACCTGCGAAATACGATCACCAACACGTTTAGTCGATCAGAAGGAGAATATGCATGGAATACAGTAACGGCTCAGCGAACGATGGCTATCGCCACCGCAAGTCCGCCGGAGTTCGGTAGTGAGGAAAACGGAGGATATGATGAAAGGCTTAGCTAGATCTAGAACGTTTCTAATAGACGGTTACCACCAATGACTTATGAACGCGTTTAGCGTGATCCAGTTCGATGTTAAAAATGTTGGACTGGCATTAAGGTAATATCAGCGCATCACAGCGTCCGATCATTAAAGTTGTTGGTAAAGGTGATTTTTACTCCTATCGGCTGGTCATTAGTGGACTAATTACCTTGAGAATCCATGCAACAGATTCCTCTCTCGCGGAGGCGTCAAGCGATTGAGATTGAAACCTGGAAAAGTAGTCGCATCCCGGAACGAAGCTGCGCTCGTGTTCGATGAATCCAGCAATCGACTCCTCCGTGGACGACGGAGAGGAATCGAGGTCGGAGGAGCACTCCGTCGACTCTCTGGACAAGATTCCGGACGTGTCCTCGTCGCAGAGAAGGTCGGAATCGGGGAAGTAGTCAGCACAAGAAACCGACATGATGATCGCCGACGGCTCCTCATTCTCTACCCATGGCTTAGGTAGAACGGTTGCCAGGACTTGACCGGAGAAGTCGCCGGAATGCTTCTGCAACGGGAGTGAGAGTGGAGAGAGACTGTGCCAGATGAAGATACTGATTTGGTGTGAAGGCGCTCCATCTGTTTGTTTGGATATAAATATGCGGTGCGTGGATGGTTTTTTTATTTATTTTGCTTTTTCTTTTTAGATTCAAATTTTCAAATGCATGAACGAGAGTTAGGAGAGCTTCGGGAATAAATTTTCCCGGGAAAAAAAAAAAGTTACATCTGAAGGCGAAATATTAAAGCCTGACGTCACTGAATTTTTGCTGAGGAGGAAAGCATTTAATTAATTATTGTTTTTCCAAAATTTAATTATTTAACTAATTGTCTTAATTTATTAATTATTATTTACTCATTAAAGTTAATTTTTTTAAAATAGATGATTTTTAAGCGACTGATAAATAAGACGATGTCAAAAATGCACCTCCCTTAGTCTCTTGGGTGTTGAATCATGAATGCAAGGGAATGAATTGCATTCATGAATGGCTTTGATGCCGAAAGAAAAAATAATAATAATGTCGAATAATAAGATATCTGGCAAAAATACTTTTATTTTAAATTAACCAATTTAGCAAATTAAGTGAATGGGTTAATTTATTTGAATTATTTCAATAATATATCAATCTTGAACCAGCTTCATAGAGCAGTTCCATGTGATGCCATGTGGGAAGAATTGTTTCTGAAGCGGCAAAATCAAAATTGTTCTCTCTTTTTTATTGTAAATGATGGAAGTAAATTATAATCCGTGCATTTTAACATACATAAATTAATTTTAAAAAAAAATTCTAGTTATTATTTAGGAAGAAAATTGAAGCAAGAAATATATTAAAAATTGAGAGAATAAAATAAAACTGTGATCTCATTTTCTTGAGCAGAAACAAGAAAGAAATGGACTTTTGAGTTGCCGCTAAGTATATATGATGGCACTTTTCACAAGCTTTGGCAGCCACCATCGGTTTGTCTTTATTCCTGGCAACTTGGGTGAATTTTATTGGACTGAACAAATTTTTTTCGAATGCATATTTAAAAAATATAATATCAATTATATACTGTTACTAATACTATAATTTAATTTAATTTTTTGAACGTCTCATGTTTTTATTGATGGACTTATTGCTTATTTTATTTTATTTTATATGGTGCTACAAATCAAACGATCTTATAATTAAAACTTAAAAGTTTGCATTTTCTACCCAAAAAAATGTATACTTGATATTTTTAAGAAAATTACTACAAAATCCAATGATTTTGCCAACAGAGATTAATTTTTTTAAATCCTGAAGAATATTGTTTTTCAAAAACCAGTAATTTGATTGTCTTTGTTACTGTTATGTAAAAAGTTATATTTGTAGTAGAAGAAAGTCGGAAAGTATCTTATACATATGTTCAAGAAGTTAGGCATAATTTTTTGAAATGTATCAGCTATCACTTGATTAGAACAATTTGAATATGATTTTTCAGTTTTTCTAATGTCGGTTGAAAAATATATTTACTTTTTTATTATGTTTTTGCCTCTCTCTTTTTCACCTTTTTCCAAATAATGAAAAATGAAAGTAAAAAGTTTAAATCATTCAAACTGTGCCAAGCTAATTTGAATAGAAATATAAGCTCTTAAAATATTAAATATATATACACACACTAGTTATAAAATTATCATCAGCGTCAAAAGGGCATAATGATCTGATAAAATTTTGAAATCTCATTCATATGAAGTTGTGTTATTAAGAACAACTCATGAGAGCTCGAGATTTTTCTTTTTTGCCCAAAATAAAAGTTATTGAAACTTAATAAATTTTGAGGAGAATAACTGAAAAATACCTCATGAATTCCAAAATGATAAATAGATGATTTTGAAACATTTTAACTTATCAAAATCATTATAAAAGCAGTCAAAATTATTATAAGAGTAATCAGCTTGACCTTTTTTTAAAAAAAAATTAACACGTTTGATCCAATTATGTTATATTTAAAAGTCACGGATAGTATGGTTTGCTTAATTACTTGATACTCCGGTCCATGAGACATTTGCCCATACAGCTGCAATATCTAATAGTATCTTATTGTAAAAACTAAGATTAAAATTAAAATTACCTAATCTTTTTTTTAAGAAAGAAAAAAGTAAAAGTGACCTCACCGGATGCGTAGTGAAGTTTTTTCCGGGCTCAGGCCACGCTGGCATTTGCGCGCCAATTTTCAACCGCCAACGATACACGCGCCATTTGCACCTTCCTTTCTCCTTCGTCACATTACATCCGTCTTTAGGTAATGGAATTTTCCTTCGGTTCAATTAATAATTTGAATTTGAATTTTTAAAATTTTTTGACTTAATATATATTTTTTATATTTTTAGATTTCTATGTCTAATTTAAATTATATATAATATGATATTATGATTAACTAATATTCATGTTCCTTAGCTCCACCTTTTATATTAGGTTTTTCTAAATTTGTGCGTGTATGTATCATTTCAATATATTTTTAAACATGAAAGAAAAATAGAAAATATTATGAAATTGTTATTACGAATGCATACGACTTTTGCTTTTTCAGAGACATGATTTAACGTGCTGAGCTGATGAAAGCTGCATATAGTAATTGAAAACATTAAGCAGTTACAAATCATGTCACTATTGTATTTGACTTTTGGGCGTTAAATTTGTTTTGACATAACTTTAATTTTTTTTCAAAAAAATTCAAATATATTCAAACTTTTGAATCCATCAATCCCCATTGCAATTTAATTTTTAGGGTTACAATTGTGGTTTTCCTTTTGCTTTTAGATATATACTGCCCAATAATCAATTCCTTCCGAATAGGACACTTGAAGCAATAGCAGTGCTTGTTGACAAGATTAATACCTCTCTTATCCCGTAATGCAGGATCAATCTAAAAATTTATTTTGAGTACTAAAAATAAAATTTTAATTTATTTTATCTCTTATATTTATTATTTTTTAAAATTAATTTATTCGGTTTATAAAATTATTATACATATAATATTACATCGGAGTATTTTAAAAAGTTCATATAATGTTTTTTATAAACTTATAATTAAGTAATTTTTTTATCTAGCTATCTACTTGAGTTAGGTTTGGACATTGTTAGACCTAATAAGGGGTAACTCTTACGGAGACATTTTCTGCATTTCTACAAACTCAAATTCAAAACTCCGTGCTCAAGCACTTAAAACTCTTTTCACTAGAACCAATGTTTGCTGGTGAATTAGTTTTTGTAATCCACTCAAGTTAATTAATTAACTCTTATATTAAACGAGGATACTTGGTTGAATCAGAAAGTACTTTCAAAAAGCATTTTTTACATAAATCAAAATAAAACTCTTCTCACATACTTATTTCGCATAATGTAAAATTATTTTTGAAATCATGGTTTGATCTCACTCAAATATACCCTAAAACCTGGAAGAGCAGCATTTAATTAGTTTTTCTTAACTGATTTTTTTCACACAATCCATTAGCCATGAGAGGCGATTTTCTTTTAGTTTGTAGTTTTAATATGAAAGATAAGGGAATAACAGTGGCTTGAAAAAGGAGAGGTTAGCATGGTGAGTTGTGACGAGAAATTAACAAATATGCCCCAACAACCCAATATAGATGGAAGTACTATGAACATGATTGCCTCTCAGATTTTAGCCGTTGTGTCATCATGCTTTCTATGTATCAACAAAAACACCAATTATATCATCACTCACTCATATATTTGTCAGTTTTATTTACAATAATGAAATGCAATATTGAGTTTTCAAGGAGTGCTGCAAGTGATTTTGTTGAAAAGTGGTATTACTTTTTTTTTTTGTTTTTCTTTTTAATTAAAAAATGCCATCTAAATAGTAACATTTTTTATGAAAATGTTATAAGGTTAAACAAGTATTTACTAAAATATTACATTTAAATTAATATGTCACCACTGGATCGTCTTCACTTTAGCATAAATTCTGATTCATTTTTTCAATTAATTTGTACAAAAGAAAGTATACTGTTTGAGATCGACTTGGATTGACTTGTCAGAACATATTATATTTAAAGGGGTAAAGTTGATTCTTCAACAACCAACTTCACCTTCTTATTTAGAAAAAAGATTGTCCTCTTTGATTTTAGCTGTAAGAGCTAATAAGAAAACTTGTTTCAATCCTAAATAAAAGATGATAATAATATATTTTATTTTTATATTTATAGTTTTTTTAAATCTTTCTTATTGATTGCACGTATTAAAAGATTTTTTATTAAATACTATTTTTTAATGTAAATAATTAAAATAAATATTTTAAGAAAGTCAAGGTAAGACACATTTTTATGACAAACAACTATATTAATAATTTTTAAAATTTTATAAATTAATTAATTAGCTTCAATCATTTATAATTGAAGGCTCAATCACACAATTGATTGTTATAGTTTAAAATGTTTCAACCAAATTTATTATTTATTTCTCTTGCCCTAACAAAATGTTTCAACCTAAATATTAACCACCAGAGGTAGTATATCAAATATAGTTATCTGAATGGCTACCAATACTTACTTATTGGACCACATGAACATAAAATAGCATTAGGAATAATAATAATAATAATAATAATAATCCTTCCTCGGGTATAGTTGCATCAGGATGATGTGATAAAAATTTTTTTTTAAGGTGATAAATGAAAATATTCATATGAAATAGAAAAACTATACTAATTAGTGTGACTTTGACTAGGGATTTCAAATGTATGGCCACCACTCCGTTCCCAACGCACATGATCAACTAGCAGCCCATTCCTGTACTACATTTTTTTTTCTTTTTCTGCTGCTTTAATTATTTTAAAGAAACCTTTTAATTCTTTATCGTTTATATTTTTTCTGTAAATTTAAAATTTTTAAGTCGTGTAATTATTTTTTTCCAGTTATTATTTATTTCGATAAAAAAATTACACAAACTCCGTTATTGAATTTTGCTATGGATTTTTTTTATTGTATATTGATTATTGATGTATTTTTCCAGTTCTATTTTTTTAAAATTTTGGTTTAGCATCCTATTTCTCTAAGTTGAGACTTAAAAAAAAAAAAAAAAGT